CCCCCCCCCCACCCCCCCTCTCTCCCCCTCCCTCCATCCCCTCCACCCCCCACCACTTGGCCGTGATGTACTACACTGTTACTGTCTACGTCGTCGTCCGCCAAACTGCCCGCCCCAGCCCCATGCACGTCTGGACACCAGGCACAGATACCTGACAAGACTCCTCAGACCCGCCAGAGCCAGAAACAGAATCAGCCGTCCGCCGCCGCCGCCGCCGCCGCCGCCGTCGCCGCAACACCTACCTCGGTTAGAGCCGAAAAGCTTCGTCTGCTCGCGTCAGATTTCTGTCTGCTGCGGTCCGAGGCGCTGTGTAGTGTCCAGGTGTGCTGCAAGGTGTGAAGGGTGAAGGGGTGCAGTGCTGTTGTTGTGGGTGGTGGTGGTGGTGGTGGTGGTAGTGGTAGTGTTGTGTTGTTATCATTGTTGTTGTCGCTGCTGCTGCTGCCCGGGCGCCGCCATGGAGTCGATCAGTCGCATTTCGAGTCTACTCGAGACAGGTAGGGCGCTTTCCTTGTTCGTGCTTTGCGCATCTATTCTCCTGCAGCTTTTGCTTTTGCTGTTCTTCTTCTCTTCTTCTCTTCTTCTTGTCCTTCTTCTCTTCTCTTCTCTTCTCTTCTTGTCTTTTATACCTCTTTCCCCCCCTCTTGTACTCAATCATCGCCGTCGCCGTCACTGTCACTGTCGTCGTCGTCCTCGTCGTCTTCTCCTTCATTCACAGCACTGGGGAAGAATACAAACATGAGTGGTGACTACCATGCATCCTTCGAACTTCGCTCACTGGTCCTTCAACACAGCCCGCGATCTCACCCTCGAAGCTGCTCGCGATGCCAGCAGTGCCCGCCGGAGCACCGCCAAAGAGCTGCCCTCGGGCCAGCTCAAGAAGCTCTTGGACAGTAGGTCGGAGCGTGAGATACTCGAGGGCTTGCGCAGAGTCGTCACCGTACGTACTACCCTGCCCTCCTCACCATGGACCTGACAAGGGGGGAACACGCAATGGCGTAGAGACGTATATAGTAACTGACTGCAGACCATGTAGATGTCCTACCGACAACCGCCCTCGCAAACATTGCCCTTCTTCTCTCACGTAATCAAAAATGTCGCCTCCCCTTCGCTCCAGGTCAAGAAGCTCGTCTACATCTACCTCATCCAGCATGCCGAGCATGAACCAGATACTGCCCTCCTCTCCATAAACACCATTCAAAAGTCTCTCACAGACTCCAATCCTCAGCTTCGCGCGCTAGCTTTGCGTGTCATGTCGAGTATCAGAGTGCCAGTCATTAGCCAAATCGTAAGCCTGGGCATCAAGAGGGGAGCGGGAGACATGTCACCTCTAGTGAGGAAAGCAGCAGCGTTGGCCATACCGAAATGCTACCGACTGGATCCGAACACCGAACCCCAATTGCTCGAGTACCTGTCCATCTTGCTGGGCGACAAGCAATATTTTGTCACGGGAGCAGCCGTCGCCTCATTCCTGGAGTTGTGCCCTGACCGGCTCGATTTGATACATCCCCATTACCGCTCTTTGGTACGGAAGCTGGTGGATATGGACGAGTGGGGTCAGCTGGCAACTCTGAAACTCATGCTGGTATATGCACGGAAGTGCTTTCCACGACGAACTAAGAAAGTCAGGAAAGCTGCAAGGAACAACGATACAACGTCGAAACCGACAAAGTCGACAAGGGGTTTTTATGAATCAGAGAGCGAATCAGAAGAGGAGAAGGAGCAGGAACAGGAGCAAGACATGGAGGAGGTTGTCATATTGGACCCAGACCTTGAGCTGCTGTTGAAAGGATGTCAGTCACTACTCCAGTCTCGAAACGCTGCTGTGGTGATCGCGGTAGCAAGGACGTACCTCTACCTTGGGACACCGGAATACCTGTACCAGGCCATCGGACCTCTGATTTCGCTACTACGGTCCGCTGGTGATATACAGCACATTGCACTGTATAATGTGGTTCAGGTCTGCTTGACACATCCGGAGCCTTTTGTCAAGTACTATACGCACTTCCTAGTACGTTCTACAGACGCACCGCACATATGGCGCTTGAAACTCGAACTCCTCACCTTGATCTTTCCCTATGCACAGCCAAGACTTCAAAGCTTGATCTTGGCCGAGCTCAGCCACTTCTCGCACTCTGGAAGTCTGGACTCTGCCCTGGTAAAGGAGTCTGTCAGGGCGATTGGACGATGCTCCCAGAGCCCCGCGACGAGCCCACAGACAGCGGCGAGATGTTTGAAGCTTTTGCTGAAGCATATTGGCTCGGCGGATGCGCACTTGGTAGCAGAATCTCTGGAGGTGATTCGTCACTTGATTCAACGAGACCCAAACGCCCACCGCACGACCGTAGTCCGATTAGCCAAGCATCTGGACGCAGCTACCAGTCCGCAAGCACGGGCGAGTATCATCTGGCTGGTTGGAGAGTTTGCAGGCATCGATCCGGAGAACAACATTGCTGCAGACGTCCTGCGTATTCTGGTCAAGGGCTTTGCAGACGAGGCTGAGCCGGCCAAACTGCAAATAGTCCTTCTTGCAGCCAAGGTCTATGTACACCATCTGACCGCCAATCCGCCTCCAGAGCCACCGAAACAAGAAGCACCCAAACCGAGCCCATCGCTACTGGATGACTACCATGAAGAAGGTGGTGGCTTCAGAGACGAGCACCTCGAAGCACCACCACGGATCGAAGACGTCAAAGAACAAGAAAAGCCACACATCATCGAGGCGTTGTACAATTACGTACTTCTCCTGGTGCGCTATGACACCTCCTACGATCTTCGCGATCGCGCACGTGTCTACAAAGCACTACTCTCCACGCCCACATCAACCCAGCTTGCTTCACTTCTCCTTCTCGCGCCAAAGCCTGTACCGCACATTCCCAGCCCCAGCGAAACGCGCAAAGGCTACGTCGTCGGCAGTGCCAGCCTCGTCATTGGCGATGAAGGTGGCGTCGGAGGACTTCGTGGCTACGAGGATCTGCCCCGCTGGGTCAAGGAAGGCCAGGAGCCCGACCCCGCCCTCCGCGATGAAGTTGTTTCGACGTCGACATCCACATACGAAGCTGCGCGGTCCATGACGGCGGCGGATAGATTGGATGTTGCGGCTGGAGGTAGTGGTAGTAGGATGACGCCGGACAGCAGGATGAGTCCAGGTAGTCTGAATGGATTGGGTGGGGATGTGGGGATGGGTGCGGGCATGAGCAAGGAAAAGCAAAAGGAGAAGACGCTGGATGATTGGCTTGCAGAGGAGAGTGGGAGTGAGGAGGAGACGGAGACAGAGGAGGAGGATGAAGACGAAGAAGAGACGGATGAAGAAGAGGAGAGCGAGTATGAGACGGATAGCGAGAGTGACGATGAGGGTGCTAGACTGGTCAAGTAGAGCAGGTACAGTTGGCCTGTCTACTTGGTTGTTTATGTCTTGCGGCCTGAAGTTGATGTCTTGTGAGGAATAAAATTGTGTTGCTCGTTTCTTGCCTGTTTTTTCCTTTGGCATGTGTATCTGTCGGTTCATCTCTCCAACCTATCCCCTTTACCCCTTCACCCCTTCACCCCTTCCCCCGGAACTCTCCGCCTCAACCTCTCCAACCCACCCAAACCCCCCAATGCTCACCCACATCCTGCACCACATATCCCCTCCGCTCAAACTCCCACGCCGCCCCCGTTGCAAAACACTCCAGGCAAGGGCGTCGTGATTGGGGTGGGAAGTGGTGGGTTGGGGGGGATAAGGCAGGGATAGATGGGGAGGTTGGTCGAGGTTGGTCGGGATTATAGAGATGTGTGGGGGGGTGGAGTGAAATGAGTATTACATTTCATTAGGTAGATGGCGTTTGTACACCGGAAACCACGGTCAACTCTTCTCTTGCACATTCCACGTGTACGCATTGCTCTTCCCTGTCGATATCTGACTTTAGTCAACAAACATTGTGCATGAGAGTGCGAGGGTCTCGTCACCAAAGCACATTTCAGTCATGAAAATCATCAGAGTGACTGAGGGAGATAGATTTTCATTCTTCACATTGTACCCGAGGGTTGTAGCAAACACGCCAGAAGCAGATTGAACCAGCACAACAGCAACGCTTCCCCATGCTGCGCCAACCAGCCCCTCAAACTCCAAGCCGCCAGATGCGAGTAGATAGGAAACACGTCTTCAGCCGTTCCAAAAGGACTCTAGTAGCTCCTTCCGAATAGAATCCATTGCTTGGCGGGAGTGGTACAGTCGGGGTTGATGCACTTTGTCTTGCCAGGCTCGATACCCTCGGGCTGTTCAAAAGGAATGCACAGACTCTTTGCGCCCATGGCAGGGGCTTGCTTGTCTTCAGCGACTCCATCACCAAGTGCGGTCCTTGCACTCTTCGCCTTGACCTCATCCTCACACTTGTCACCCTCGCAGTGGGGCACAAGAACAACGCTCTTGTTGTTGAGCGTAGGAACAAAGTCATCCCAGTTGGTAAGCTGTACACGATGCTCGCGGTATTTCTTATCAGCACGCTCAAACATGTCCGACTGGATCTGCTCGAGTAACTTGGGGATCTCTGTCTTGATGTTGTCGACGCTAGTAGTACCGCGCGCAGCGTCCTTGTCGTCGATGTCACGGCGAGAGGTTGTCACAACGCCTTTCTCGGCATCCTTGGGTCCAAACTCGATTCGAAGAGGGATACCCTTGAGTTCCCAGTCATTGAACTTCCAACCGGGGGAGTAGCCCTCACGGTAGTCAGTCTCAACACGAACACCGACCTCGTGTAAGTCATCGGCAATGTTCTTGACCTTGCTGTAGAGTGCTTCCTTGTCTTCTGCAGACATCCTGAATGTATGTTAGCTTTGCATCATAACTAAAAAACATCCACGTACTTTGCTGTGACTCCAACGGGAATCAGGACAACCTGAATCTCAGCCACTCTTGGAGGAATGACCAAACCTCGGTTGTCACCATGAGTCAGGATCATGACACCAATCGAACGAGTAGTTAAACCCCATGAGGTCTGCCACACGTGAACGTGTTCGGACTTGCCGTTCTCCTTTGCGGTGGGGTCTTCAACAGTGATGTTGAACATCTTGGAGAAGTGCTGACCAAGACAATGAGATGTGGCTGCCTGAATACCTCGGCCAGTTGCGGGGATAAAGCCTTCAATGGTCGTTGTGTAGTCTGCTCCAGGGAATTTTTCATTTACCGTCTTCGTGCCCTTGACTACAGGGACGGCGAGTAGATTTTGGTAGACATCAGAATACCAGTCTAGAATTTGCAAGACTTCGGCACTTGCTTCCTCCTCGGTAAGATGTGCGGTGTGGCCCTCCTGCCAGAGGAACTCGCGAGAGCGGATGAAAGGCATGGGATCTGCGTTGATCAGCGACATGTCATCGAAGTAGTTTGTAAGGGCGTACGCTTGAATTCCCAACGGACGACGTTGTTCCATTGGTTCAGCTTCAGGGGCAAGTCACGATGCGACTGGATCTTGCGGGCAAAGTAAGGGTACATGGCCGTCTCAGAAGTAGGACGCACAGCCACAGGCTTCTCCAGGTCAGACTTCCCGCCCTTTGTGACCCATGCGACTTCAGCAGCAAAACCTTCTACGTGCTCCTTCTCTCGTTCCAAATTGTCTGCGCTAATGAAGATGGGGAAGTATGCATTGCGGGTTTTGCGGGTCTTGATCTTCGCGTCGAACCAGGCCTTGATCGATTCCCAGATGGCGTAGGACGAAGGTTCGAGGATATAGCTGGGGCGAATGAGCATTGTGGACTTGATGTAAGCGAAGAGACTCACCATCCAGCGACCTATGGATCATGTTAGCAAAGTCTCGGTAGCATTACGATGCAGGTGGAACTTACGTCGTAGTACGAAATCATCTGTCCCTTTGTGATGACCTGCTGGTACCATTCTCCAAGGTCTGCCTCTTTGGCGACATCGATACCGATCAGCGCAGCGCCTTCAATCTGCATCCTTGTCAATATCTTTTCTCCCCCGTCTAACGTGTCCCTCCCGTGATGTATCTGACCTTCTTCTTTGGCTGCTGCTGGACCTTTGGAGGCTTCTTCTCCTTGGGCTCCTTCTTCTTCTTAGGCTCGGATACGGACAGATCCTTCATCTTCTCTTCCGCAGCGGAGGGTTCGGCCATGGTGTGGGTGTTCAAGTTCTTTTTTTTCCCTTCGTGAGTACGTGAAGGGTGCTACAAGGGACGAATGTTAGTATTGTAGGATACGAGAAAAAGCGCTAGTTTCCCAATGCGAATTGCGTCCTACTGCATCTGCAGTACAAATATGGTAATATCAAATGAATGCCCAAGCCAAGCCAATGGCGGGGCAAGCGGGGTGGTAGGCATTTACATCAGGGGGGATGGATGTATCGCTTACCTACAAGCGAAGAGTCAGACGAGGGTATCCCAAGGCACAGCAATTGGAATGAACAGAAGGAGAAGAGAAAGAAAGAAAGAAAAAGGCGCGGTATGGGGCAAAGCTCGGAGTCAGCTCTTACTACGACGGCAGTAAACAAGTCACCAAACCTCGTAAAGTGTCGTGTTCGGCCGGCCAAGAGGTCCAGAGGGAGGGGTCGAGGGCGCAGGGAGTCCGACGTCAACCTTAAGTTAGCGCGACCTCACACGGCGCTACCTTTCGCCGACGTGCTGGAGATTTTCTAGGAAGCGCGTGAGGAGGGCAGCGACAACAAAAAGCGAGAAAACAGCTGCAAATCTGCGAATCGACAACATGGCAGGAATCTTCGAGCAGTCACGTAGCGGAGGAACTCTGTGTAAGCTATGCTACGGGTAGTTGGGGCGGAGGTGGAAAGTTCTCTCTGATTGCCAGCTAACCAAGTCTCCAGTTCTCGGAGGCCAGAAAATCAGTGGGCAAGACATCCGCGACGAGAATGTCCTGGCCACGCAGGCCATCTCCAACATTGTCAAGTCGTCGTTTGGCCCGTCTGGCCTCGACAAGATGATGGTCGACGACATTGGCGATGTCACCGTGACCAACGATGGCGCTACCATTCTCAGCCTGCTCGACATTGAGCACCCCGCAGGCAAGATTCTCGTCGATTTGGCGCAACAACAGGATAAGGAGGTCGGTGATGGCACAACCTCTGTCGTCATAATAGCAGCCGAGCTTTTGCGGAGGGCGAACGAGCTCATGAAGAACAAGATTCACCCCACTACCATCATCACTGGGTACAGGCTAGCACTGAGGGAGGCGGTCAAATACATGAACGAGAACATCAGCACAAAGGTCGATGCCCTCGGTCGCGAGTCGCTAGTCAACATTGCAAAGACATCCATGTCCAGCAAGATCATTGGCTCGGATTCGGACTTCTTCGCCAACATGGTCGTCGACGGCATGTCCGCTGTCAAGATGACCAACAACAAGGGCGAAGTCAAGTACCCTGTCAAGGCGGTAAACATTCTCAAGGCACACGGGCAAAGCGCGACCCAATCAATATTGGTCAAGGGATATGCTCTGAACTGCACAGTCGCCTCCCAAGCCATGAAGACACGCATTACAGACGCGAAAATCGCCGTCTTGGATATCAACCTTCAGAAGGAGCGCATGAAGCTGGGCGTACACATCACAATCGACGACCCAGAGCAGCTGGAAAAGATCCGGGAGCGTGAAGCTGGCATCGTCACCGACCGTATCGAGATGATCCTAAAGGCAGGCGCCAACGTTATTTTCACCACCAAGGGCATCGACGACATGTGCCTCAAACAATTCATTGAAAAGGGCGCCATGGCGGTACGGAGATGCAAGAAGGAGGACCTGAGGAGGATAGCAAAGGCCACGGGTGCGACCATGGTCAGCACTCTATCCGATTTGAACGGAGACGAGAAGTTCGAGGCGGCCAATCTGGGCCACGCTGAGGAGGTTACCCAGGAGCGTATTTCAGACGACGAGTGTATCTTGGTCAAGGGTACCAAGGCATTCTCTTCTGCATCTATCATTCTGCGTGGAGCCAACGACTACGCCCTGGATGAGATGGAGCGATCAGTCCACGACTCCCTGTCCGCCGTGAAGCGAACGCTTGAGAGCGGCCGCATCGTACCCGGTGGTGGCGCTGTCGAGACTGCTCTGCACATCTACCTGGAAGAGTGGGCAACATCAGTCGTACGTTACATCCCACGCTCTGCCATCTCAAAAGCACAACTAATTATCATTCCAGGGCTCCCGCGAGCAACTCGCCATCGCCGCCTTCGCCCAATCCCTCCTCTCCATTCCCAAAACCCTCGCCATCAACGCCGCAAAAGACGCAACCGAACTCGTCGCGAACCTCCGCTCCCGCCACGCCCTCTCACAACGTACCGTCAATCCCTCGGACCCTTCCTCACAAGACGCAAAGCAGCTCGCAAAGTCGAAAAATTACAAAAACTACGGTCTCGACTTGTCAAACGGCAAGGTGCACGATTGCCTCAAGGCTGGTGTGTTGGAGCCTAGTATGAGCAAGGTGAAGCAATTGAAGTCTGCGGTCGAGGCATGTGTGGCCATTATGCGTATCGATACCCTTATCAAGCTGGATCCGGAAGAGAGGGGTGGGGGTGACGATGATGGACATGGACACTAGATGCTGAAGCTGTTTATTCATGCACAATGACCCGAAGAAGAAATGACCACGGTGGCCTAATGAAAACCTCCATGGTCTCATTCAAACAAATATCCTCCCTGTGAACAGTGTACAAAAAGAGAAAAAGAATCCACACGTGAAGAAAAGTGAGCCATGCATGTACATTTATAGAACCCTCCATCCATGCGATTCCCCTTGCACTCCCAAAGCCCCTCATCTGGCCAAAGCAAAAAGGCAAACTCCTCCTCCCCTACCAACAACCACAATCTCACGGCACGTAGAGTCTAGAATACGCCACCACCCCCGTCCGACAACAAACACAGGCCGTATAATTCTTACTCGCGAGCCCAACCCTGCACTCATCGCACAGACTCAAACAGCCACAGGGCCACACCAAGACTGTACGCGGCGCCATCTGACAAACGACGCACTGCGGGCCCTCTGCACCCATGCCCTCTGCGCCATGATCCCAGCTGTTCGTTCCCTCGGCTGCAGCCTGCGGTGAATTGGCAGCCGGAACGCTGCGTTTACTGAGTATGAGGTCTTCGAGCAGCTGTTCTTCCTCCTCCGCGGTCATGGCCACGGCGGCCGGGTCTATTTTGTAGCGTGAGGAGGTGAGGATGCGGGATTCTTCTTTTTCGAGGGCGGCGCGGTAGCGTGAGCGTGTCATGATGGTGTTGCTTGTGAGGTGGCGGGCGAGCAGTTTTGCTTCTTCGCGGTCGTCTTTTGTTTTTGGGTCGAGGAGTTGGGAGAGCCGGGTGAAGTCGAGGGTGTCGTTGGGGAGAGGGGTGCTGGAGCGACGGCGTTGGTAGGTGTGGCGGGTAGGGGTGCGTTGGCCATCGTCATTGTCGTCGTCGTCGTCGAGATCGGACCACTCAGAGTTGGAGGCCGAGGTGGAGGCGAATGAGAGGACGCTGGTGGTGTCGTCGTCTTGTGGGGGTATGTAGTCGGCGGTAGTGTCTATGTCGTTCCAGCGGCCGCCGTTGCGCCACCAGGAGTAGAGATATTCGTCTAGGCGATTTGAGGATTCCTCGTTGTCAGATTCAGTGTACAACCCGCTCTTGCGAAGTCTTTCTTCAGCGAATTCCTCGATGTTGAAGTTGTCATCCTGGCGGACCTTGTCTCGATTGTCTAATGTAAGCCAGGATGCTGTTGCGCGCGTCTGCTGTTCATTTAGTGTGTAAAGCTCTGTGGCATTGGGGTTCCCAAATCCTCGTCCACCCGCAATGCGTCGCAACCAGCGTGGTCGATAGTTAACCCGGACTCTCCGCAGGGACCATATTATGATTCGTGCATGCGCCAGAGCTATAAGCTTCACAATACTCCTCCAAAAGTGATAGACCAGGAAGAACCGACTCCTACGCTGTCCAAGTCCAGTGGGGTCGTTTCGACGTGCAGGATCCGATGTAGGGAGGACCCCGCGTGTCTTGCGCTCTCTCGCATAGCCAGAAGTCGACGCCGCGTTTCTGGCATCACCATTGAAATTGTCCGTAATTTCTACACCTTGCGCTAAGGTTTCGTTTGTTAATTCCAAAGGGAGGTCGACGATGTTCTCCCGGAAGCGTCTCCTTCGAGCAAGGATGGCCTGCAGCCTTTCCTTCTCGAGCCAAGTCATCGAGTGTACATTCACCTTGGTGCCTTCATTAAGAAAGACCGCTTCACTTGCGGCTGTCAACACAGTGAAGCCTACTTTCAAGATTGCCGTGTAAAAGTCTTCGTTCCAGTTGATCGTCAAAGGTGTGATGGCGGAGAGATGTATGTTGGCATGCAGGTTACCATAAGCGGCAGCGAATCTTTCTTTTAGGGTGAGCGAAGCTGGCTGGCCAGGAGGTGGCGAAAGAACTGTAATGACAAGGGCTAAAAGATAAATGCAACCACAGAGGAGAATACCAGCGAGGATGAGAAGATGAGGAATGAAGCCTACGATGCACACTGTAGGAAATCTCAGGATGCCAATGTATTGGTCAGGATCCGTGATGGCGGACGCCAGACGAGCAAAACTCCACGCAAATGTTGACATGTATGCAAGGCCCCATATGGCGGTCGTGATCAGCCTATATCTCGAACGTACGCCCGCGATGGCGAGTACGTTACTGGTCAGGTGGCTGATGCTAGAGATGAGAGCAATGACGAGAACCTCTGGTGGTGCGTTGGCTATCCTCGACAGTCCAGTCCTTGTTATCACCAAGGAGGTACCATCAGGTGCGAAAATGTTCTTGGGTTTGAGGAACCGTGTTGTATCCACCGTCAGAGGCTTCGTGACTACAGCTTCGGCTTCGGCAAAAGCAAGTGAATGCTCAAAGATGGTCATGCCCACCTCCTGCGTGGGATGTCGACCCTGAAGCGCGCATGTCAGTGTCTCCACAAACTGTCCGAAGCCCAGCGACAGGAACAGAGGCCACAGGAGACTTAGCGATCCAGCTGGACGCGTCGACTCGCTGTTCAGAGGCAACATGTTGACAGCTCTGCATGACTCCTCAGTGGTCTGCCAGAAGAGCAGGGACGAGGACGCTCGCCACATGTACCCACCCTCTCCACCAAAGTCAGTATCCAATTGTCTACCAGGGCCGCCATACTGCATTTCGGACCAGCCAGGAGAGGTTTGGCATCGTATGGCCTGGAGAATGCTCTGTATCTGGTACAGGAAGAGGAGCAGAGGGACTATGTACAACGAGAGGCGGAGATGCAAGCGGTCGAAATGGAGGGCTACACGGCTCGAGGCGTAGAAGTGGGTGCGGTTCAAAAGCACGGCCTGTACAAGTGTTACTATACTAGGCAGAGGAGGGAGGTGCATGTGCGAGGGGAGGGAATCTTTACTATGGCAAAGGTCGCGATGGCCCACTTGGAGGTGATGTAGCTAAAGAAGCTGGCAACATTCTTAATCGCCTGGAACATGCTAATCTCCTCGCTGGGCCCGGAGGCGTTGGACACGGCTGCAGTGACCGATTCCTGGACAAATCTGCTTGCAGTCATGGTGAGCGTGCTGTTGGTGGCATTGGCCAAGGTAGGCTCCGCAATGGCGCTCCCACCAGAGCGCAGCAAGTCTCCCAGCGAGCTGGCCTTGGAGAACAGACGAGGAATCGCCATGAACAGATCGGCCGGCGACGGGAGGTACGACGTCACGTTTGCGAGTGTGGTGGAGGCCTCCATCGAGGGCCGGCTTGTGTAGTATCCGAAGATGTTCAGGGGCGATGTGCCCGGTTCAAGTGGTTATGGATACCAAAGTTCCAGCGAGATCCTGGCATGGCGGTCGCAATGCACGCCCTGAGAGCAAACACAGGCTCTGGAATAGATGGCACGTGAAGGCCGTCCAGGTGGTGGGTGTGATTGTTTGGTCCGGAAGTTGGCCGCATAGCCTTGGAGCGCATCATCCTGCACCGCCAACACGCCAACGACCCAACGGGTGTGGAGAAGCGCTAAACCATGTACAGACTCTCCGCCACCTCTGCTCCACTTCAACACCAACGTCGTCAGTCACATACACACACACACGGTACCGAGATGCTAACATCTGTCACGGCTTGTATCACCACCGTCTCATCGGAATCGCATTTAGATTTGCCGTTTGCTACTGACACGATAGATTAAACGCCTAGTGCTAATAGGACGACGTGAATGAAATGTGCGGCGAGTCTACCATCCACTCATGCGAATTGGGCACTGCTCACATCACCTCGCCAGGATAGGAGCAACGGGAGGAGAGAACAGGAAACTGTCTTTTCAATATTCCGTCTTGGGTGGCCTTGCGCTAAACCCCGGTGGCGTCTAGGCTCCAATGAAGATTTACAAAGTCAAGCCCATGCCGCACAATGAATCAACCATTATTCGATCTCTGCTACGCTGACACTCTGAGGAAATGGAGTGGCCATCATTGAGAAAGGCAATCGTTTGAACTGTTAGGAGAAAGAGGCCATTTCATGGGTTCACTTTGCAATCAACATCCTGACTGCACAGACACATGAAAGATCCACGGTCACATAAAACTACCTACACCCTCAAAAACGCTCTCAATCGCGACTTCACTGGAATAACCAGTTCACAAAACCGCACAACATGCCATCGATATTCGGCAAGATTGGCAGAAAGTCGAATCCATACATGGACACCCAGCGCTTCGATTTTGAGCCCATGCCACAAGGCCGATCAACACAAACAACCGCCTCGACGACTCCATCTCACCCTGTCAAGAACCTACGTGCAGTCTCGCCGCGTGGCGCGTCAGATCTTCTGGCCGATGCCCGATTAGCTGTCGGTCGTGACCCAGTCACTGGACGACGGCGTCCCGATATAGCTACCATGACAGCGAGTGAACGAGATATTTTTGAGAGGGAATTCACTGGGCAATTGAAAGAATTGGAAGAGAGAAGGAGGATTGCATATCAAAGCCTAGCAAGTGTTAAGAACTCCCCGGGCGAACGGTTCGATCGATGGTTGCGAAAGATGCCAGCCAACAAGTACACGCCTGCCAAGGCGACGGCGACGAGACAGGAACCTGTCTATCGCGACGCCATGGGTAATGAAATCGAGTATTATGCGCCTACGAGAAGGATTGGGTAATGATGTATGGGGGCGCGTGAGATGTCAACATTCTTTTTCCCTTTCGCATTACACTTTTTTATTGGTAGTCTACGCATGATTACTTTTCTCTCATAATCATCATAATACCAATGAAGACCTGCTAAGCGTGCAGAATGATCAATCTCAAAATGGAGACTATGAACATCAACCCACCTTGAGACATAAAGGCAAGCAAGCCACATGCTTGCACTTGGGTCATGCCTTCCCTTGCCATCCACCACCCCTCCCTCGCCTCTCTTCCCCCCTCCCAACTCCTTCAACCTCTGCCTCGCCCACATCTTTCAAAACAAAACCCATCGCTTCCCTCTGGCCCACTGACCAAACAACCCGACAACACAACCGCAAAAATGGGCTCAGCAATGCTCCAACACCTCCCCTCAGCATGGCACGTCGACCAAGCCATCGTATGTCACCCCCTTTCTCCCTCCCACCCAGCAACTAACACCCCATCTCTCTCCCCCACCCTAGCTCAGCGAAGAAACCCGCCTCGTAGTCCTCCGCTTCGGCTCCGACGCCGAACCAAGCTGTATGGCCATGGACGAGCAGCTCTTCCGCATCGCCGACCTGGTCCGCAACTTCGCCACCATATATCTCGTCGACAACAAGGTATCTCCCTCCTCCCTTTTCCTTCCTGCCTTCCTTCCAATCCCACCCCCCCATCCATCAACAACCACTAACCCACACACGCACCCGCGTGGGCAAAAATAACAGCAAGTCCCTGATTTCAACTGCATGTATGAAATCTACGATCCTTGTACCGTCATGTTCTTTTGGCGCAATAAACACATGCAGGTGGACTTTGGGACGGGGAATAATAATAAGATTAATTTTGCAGTGGGGGATAAGGCCGAGTTGGTGGATATTTTGGAGGTGGTGTATAGGGGCGCGCGCAAGGGCAAGGGGTTGGTGGTCAGTCCCAAGGATTATTCGACCAAGTGGATGTACTAGGCGGAGAGAGAGAGAAGGCGGGCAAGTAAATGGACTGGACGTGTGGGGAGTGGGACGCAAGGGTAGTGTGTGGTGTTATGGAGATGCTTTTGATAGATATATCTCGGGGAAACGATACAAGTCACATGGAAAAAGGAGCAAGGAAGAACCATTGTCTTTCAAGAAAAGAGTGGAAAAGAAGCTTTTCACGCCCAAGACTTGGTATTCTAATCTACACAACACTACCGCCCCACCGCCCTCAAATCCATATACAAATCCACCATCAACCCGCACAGCAGGTCCCTCCTCCACCCTCTAACCACCCCAACACCCCCAACGCCAAACAATGCACCCAACCAAATCAAACCACCAAGACTCGCCCCTCCCCAAAAACCCCCTTTACTCCTCGCCATGAACAAAGCAAAACAGGGCCAAAGGCAAATGCTGCAACGACCTGCGTCAAGAGTAAAAGACCACACATTAGCCCAAGAAAGTGAGGGAAAAAAAAAAAAAAAAAACTCGAGCTCGAAAAAAAAAAGTAGACTAGTGCTTGGAGGAGAACAAATGCAACTTCTTCTTCTTCTTTTCCTTTTCCTCCTTGCCATGCTTACTTCCCTGCGACCCCGCAGGACCATACTTTGCGCCTCCTGCCGCCGATGATGGCGGAGCATTTAAATTCATGGCGCCCATGGCCGCCGTGGGCGGTCTCGCTGCCCCCGCCGCACCTGGACCGCCGGCTCTAGGGCCAGTGGGTAAACCGCCGGGACCAGGGAGGGGTTTGGCAGCCGCAGGAGGCGGTGCCGGTTTCGGGGGCTCTGGCTTCTCAAAGAGATGGGCGGGCGCCTTTGGAGGCGGCGCATCAACCGGTAAGCGGAGTTTATTACGTGGTTGGCTGAGGTCGCCGACCTGGCGGAGGAAGAAGGTGGGTTTCATCATGTGCGAGGTGACGAGGAAGATGTCGCGCGAGGACTTGTGGGAGACGTCGTAGCAGGCCCGCGCTTCCGAGTACGTGGCGCCGCCGGCTACAAAGACAATGACGCGTTGACGCGGTTCTGCGCTTGCGACACGGGATTTTGCCCACGTCGGTTTTGCGGAGCGGAGGGATGCGGCCGAGGGCTGGTCGTTTTGCATGGATTGTACGTCGTCGGGGGACAGTTTGGTAAATGGGAAGGCGTCTTGGGGGAGGGTGCCGCGGACGTGGCCTTCCAGCATGTCTTGGAGGGCTGGATTGAATCTCGATAGCCCGTAGTCTTCGGTGTTTGGGGGAGGGGCAGGCTTGGGAGGGAAGAGGGGTGGCAATGGATCTCGCTTTTCCTTGAGTTTGCGGGATACGCGAGCGCCGAGGAGGTCGAGGTTGCGGATTACGTCGCCGTCCGAAGGCGCTAGTTGGGCATGGAAGATCAGCTTTTGAAGATCGGCGGGAAGAATGCCGTCTTTGAAGAGTATGTATAGGGCGATGAGGCGTAGGCGATCGGAAGGGGTTACTTCGTCTTCGTCGAGCGTTCGGACGACTTGGTCGGCCATGTTCTTGGGCTTTCGGTAATCTTCGTCCAAGCCGGTGGCTAAGCATTGTTCTACAGATGCCAGATCTGGTAGTTTATGTTGCTGGAAAATTTCCATGCATTTTTGTGCCATTGTGAGATGCAATGAGTACGCTTCCTTCATTTCCTGAAACTGTGGCAGTCCTGCAATCATGTCTTTGATGGCGTTGAGACCATTCATGCCAGCAGCATTCTGGGCATCTTGATTCGTAAAGTGTGGGTTATCAGCGATGAATTTTTGAAAGTCGCTAATCAACTTGTCGAGACAGTCCTTCATGTGACGATGCCGGTTCTCCACCCAGATCTTGTCCTTGTCCGATATCTCCATGTCTTTTTCTTCTGCGCCGGGATCTTCCTCATTGACGACTGTCCTGTATATGATCTTGTCTCCGTCTACAATCGGTAGCAGGTCGAAAGCCATGGCTTGGTAGGTAAATTCGTGCAAGAAGGGCGCCATTAGATCCATGGACCGGTCGGTGATGTACAGTGCGCCACGAGGTCTATTTGACGGGGGTGGAAAGTCTTGGTTGAATTGCGCATACATGTCCAGCTTGTCTTGCACGAAGCGCGCAAGATGTGAGCAGAGCACGCTAGCTTCATGTGTTGGGTTCCGTGGTCTGTAGTATCGAATGATGGGGTACTCGCCGAGTCCAACACAGATGCCAGTGATCTAGGCCAACATAAGCACTATCATGTTATGTCGCAGTGCCGAACCTACCTTTTCAGCGATTTCCTGCATGTGCCTCACTACTAGATTGTTACAATCTGGGTGGTAAAGCATTGGGAAGCTCCAAGGGTCCTTGAACGTGATGAGGTGTGATTCTTGGGGGTGGTAGTCGAGATGGACGGTTGTGAAACTGCGTATCTGCTCTCGTGCCATTTGAGAGCGGTCTATACGCTCCTTGAGTGGGGGTGGGAGGACTGCTCAAAGCGTCAGTGAATGTGGGCCGGTCGTGAGCAGAGGTTCGCCTTACGTGTTGTCCATATGAGGAAGAAGCCTCTGTAGCGCCGCTGCTCAAACTCGGCCATGATGCAGTCGACAATGTGGGGTTTGGGCGTCAGGATGTATATGGCATCCATGTCTCGTTGGGTGGTGCGCCGATTCTCGAGTCGCTCGATGTCTACAACGCTTAGCTATCGCATTCGAGCATGGCAGGGGCGGCTGCGACACACTTGTGATGTTGGAATTGAGGATGTCATCTTCCTTGACCACATTGTTTACAATTTTCTGGCTGTCTTCGTCTACAATGAGGATCTTCCACTGGGGAGAGGAGGAGGAGGAGGAGGGTTAGCGGTGCAGCGGCGCAGGGGATATGGGGGCAGCAAGGACGTACGTCGCCACGGGTGGTTTTGCGCAAGGTGTTGAGAATGACTGGGGCTCTCTGTCAGAACAAGTGGCCCCAATGTATGCGCTGCCCTCTTTGTATTCTTACGGTCTCGCTGGATCTCAATCATGGAGACACTCATGGTGGCGGCGGGGTACGAGGCAGAGGGAGCCGCAGGGGCATCCAACGGTAGCTGTGAGCGCTGGACGTCGCGGTCGCAGAGTGCAAGGGCGACTGCAGAGGAATGGCCAGGCAGTGAATAGCGACTGTGTACTCAGCAAAAAGACGAGGCTGAGGAGGGGAGAAGCGTGCAGCGTAAAGGGAAGCGAGCGCGTCGCAGTCAAAACGGTGGGTGTACCGGTGCCGGTACCCAACTGGTGTTGCAGACGCGGTAACGTTAAGACATGGATCACTGGATGCGGGCAACGGGCCCTTGTGAACGGAAGTGCCCCGTTTAGGTTCACGTTAGGAACCTTTTTCTGTTCTTTAAAAAAAAAAAAAACTAACTTACCCTAACCTAACCGAACCTAACCTTACACTCACGACCGTGGTACCCGTTCATGATCAATGACATGATTGATGTCGCCTCCACGCTGTCAGAATTAATACCATCATCGTACACAACACGCCCCCGCCTCGACTGACCACTTTTTCGCCCTTTTCTTTCTCTCTCTCTCTCTCTCTCTCTCTCTCTCTCCCTCCCCCAACACAGAGAGGAGCACGAGAGCACGCCCCCCCCCACTGGCGGTATGCCACCATTGCCCTCACGGCGAAACTCGCTGTGCCTCTTTTGCGCCTTTGCCGCCCACGCGCCCTCACAACCACTGCGCTTCCTCCCCCGAATACAAGTTGCCCATCGCAGTGGCTCCTCAAAACGTGCCTCGCCTCCATGGAGTAGCGCGAGCATCAGAGACGCCTTCCAAGGCCGCGCAGGGAGAGACGCAGCTCCCTTGATCCATGTCCGTGTCCGGTTGGATAAACTGAAAGAAGAGTGCGCCCAGCCCGACTTCAGAGAGAGCCTAGGCCTTTCCGAGGACGACTTCTACAAGGAATGGACGGAGTTCGAGCGCTCCATCAACCTCTGGATAAGAAAAGCGCCGCCCGAACTGCAGAGACTGGCTGCCGAAGAGAAACGCGGCAAGCTGACGCTCTCAAAACGCCTACGAAATCTCTTCTACGCCCAGGTATGCAGTGGCAAGTTCACGGCAGCTGAGCTCGACAACCAGAACAAGGTCGCCGACCTACGTTATCCCGCCGAGTGGTTCCCGGCAACGAGACAGATTCCACGCACTGTGCATCTGCACGTAGGACCGACCAACTCAGGCAAGACGTACCATGCCCTCAAACGACTCGAGCAGGCCGACACGGGCATCTACCTCGGTCCGCTTCGACTCCTCGCCCACGAGGTCTACACACGCTTGACGGCAAAGGGCAAGTCGTGTGCCCTGGTCACGGGCGAAGAACAGCGCCTGCCCGAGGGAGACGGGCTTCCGGGCATGTTCAGCTGCACTGTCGAAATGGCACCGCTCAACACGCGCTTTGACGTTGCTGTCATCGACGAGATACAGATGATCAGTCACGCAGAACGAGGCTGGGCATGGACACAAGCCTTCCTAGGAATACAGGCCAAGGAAATCCACCTCTGTGGCGAAGCGCGCACAGTGCCCATTATGCGAGAGCTTGCCGCCCTTGCTGGAGACAAGGTACATGTGCACGAGTATGCGCGACTGACGCCTCTCCAAGTCATGCCAAAAAGCCTCAACAGACAGCTGGAAAAACTCGAAAAAGGAGACTGCGTGGTTGCGTTCAGCGTCCTCGGCATCCATGCTATACGCCGAGAGATTGAGAAAAAGACGGGGAAACACTGTGCCATTGTGTATGGCAGCCTGCCTCCCGAGACGAGAGCCCAACAGGCAGCACTGTTCAATGACCCGGACAATGACTATGACTTCCTTGTTGCAAGTGATGCTATTGGCATGGGCCTCAATTTGTATGTCAACACGCAGCTCTTGACCATGAATCTGCACTGACAAAGACAGGGCAATCAAGCGCATCATCTTCGAATCCCTTATGAAATCCGATGGCCTCTACTACAATCCCCTCCAGATCTCTGAAGTCAAGCAAATCGCCGGTCGTGCCGGACGCTACAAAACTGCCCACCAAGCCGTGACTACTGACACCCAAGCCTCGGATCCCACCATCGCCCTCGACGACACACCCCCATTCATCGAACCCAAAACAGTTGGCTGGGTAACAACATTCGAAAAGGACGATCACGAGCGTCTCAAGCGAGCCATGGCCATGGAACCAGAACCTATCCACACAGCAGGCCTCTTTCCACCTTCCTTGATGATTGAGCGTTTCGCAAACTACTTCCCACCTCGAACACCCTTCAGCTACATTATGCTGCGCCTGCACGAAATCTGTCAACTTCACTCGCGATTCCATCTTTGCAGGCTTCGAGACCAGTTGGACATTGCAGACGCCATCCACCCGGTCAAGTCCTTAAGCACACAGGAACGCATCACACTCTGCAACGCCCCAGCCAACATGCGCGAGGAACTCGAAAAAAGCTTTATGCGTTCGCTGGCAGATTGCATAGCCAACAACCGTGCCGCCCATCTCCTCGAGCTTCCCGACCTACCCTTGCAAGCCATGGATGCCAAACCCGGCCAGGAACGGAAATATCTGTATGAGCTGGAACGCTTGCATAAAATGCTCATCACCTATCTGTGGCTTAGCTACCGCTTCCCCCACATCATGGTATCGCGCTCACTAGCGAATCATGCAAAGAAGCAAGTGGAGGACAGGATTGAGGAGACCCTGGCACGCTTCACCTTTGTCAAGGCAGATCGGGATCGGCTGAGGATGCGGAGGGAAATGGCGCGCAGAGCCTTGGAACAGGAGGAGGGTACGGAACACAAGGACGGCGCAGACGGCGAGACAGCGCAGCAGTCTGCAGACAAGCAGACTGCCCGCTCAGCGGTGCGCAGAGTCATGACGGCTGCTTCGTCCCCAAACGAAAAGTATCTGCCCACCCCTCCCCTTGCGATTCGCAAGCATCCGTCTACCCCTCACGTCCCGCTACGCAAACACATGTCCGGGAAGGAAACTGACAGTCCGCCACCCCCTGACCACATGCTCAATCCAAGCCAGGAATCTCTACTCGGACAGGCTCAGTAGGGCAAAGAGAAGTTCTGTGCACCGCTTTGACCATTTCTTTTCCCGGCGCGACAATATTTGGAAAATGGCATGGAATCCTTGATAGATGAGGGCACATGTTCAAATCAAGGTACAGTACCATTACGTGTACAAACAATCATGTAGAACAACGAGAATATAACAATCGTCCTCCCTGCACAGGAGAGAGACATATTTACACATTTGTGGGTTTTCGTGGGGTTGGTATTATATTATGTATTTTGTGTCTAGGGGACGTATGGTATACTACAGGATATAACATGTGGTGCCGAGCACAAAGGGATTAGGATCCGTTTCTCCTGAACGGACGGACAAATCGGGGTGTGTATAAAGACGCCACGAGATGCGCTCCTGGCATACCCGGTCAACGGGGATGATGTCGGATGCATACATCGGGGTTGCTGTGTGAGGAGGTAAGAGGTCATGACAACGCCTCGCGAATCATTACTTTCGTCCCCGCTATACGCGCTAAACGAGTCTCGCGGGGTTGATTTTTTGCAGTGCAGTGGACGGACAGAAGAGGGGGTAAGGTATGTCAAAAGGCTGACCAAGGACGGGTTATGAAAGCCAGGTGCTCTACCGGGGCAGTTCGGCGCTCAAAGGGGTGAGATTGAGTTGGGGAACAGGGGGCCCGGTACCGGATCTACGTCTACGCTCGCGCTCGTTGAAGCCAACAGGTTGATCAAGTGTTGGATTTTGCCTCTTGAATTTCCCGCCGAGGCTGCGCAGCCAGTCCTCGCCTTCTTCAGCGCCGAGCCAGTATTTGGGGGCGCCGCTGAGCATGATGCGGCCGAGGTGGCCTCGCCAGCCGCTGCCTTCTTCTTTGCCTTCGGAGAAGGGGTTTTCGGCTAGGTCGGCGGCGGTGGTCTGCATGTTGTTGGAGTTGTACCAGGCGGCTGAGGCGGCGTTTGCGGCAATGTGTTGGCGTAGACATTGGCGGGCAAAGGCGAGCATGATGAAGACAAGGTAGACGCGTAGCGCCCAGAAGGCTGAGATGAGGGAAATGCTCATTATGCTTCCGCTCTGGAAGACGACGTTCTCCAGGCCGGCGCCACTGTTTGCTGTGGGCTGGCCGACGGCGATGGCGTTTTGCCCGGCCTTGAGCCCGTCTGTGGGCTCAGCGACGATGTCGACTTGCGTGACGTTGTAGTCTGGGCTTGTGTATCCAGCATTGTTCTTCATGCCTGGTGAAAGACCAGTGGCGTCGTCTGGGTGTGCAGCGAGGGTGATGAACCATGCGATGCCGAAGAAGGCGGTGTAGAGGGCGTTGATGACCGAGTCGAGCGCATACAGATGCGCCAGCAGCACCGCCTCAAACGGACTTTGTAACCGGATGTGCTTGTATAGGAAGACTGTGGCGAAGAGGGCGAGGGTCGAGTAAATGTACATGGAGAGTTGCCATCCGTCGATGCGTGCGCCAGTGAAGACAGCGAGCAGTCCGAAGAAGCCGGAGGCTTTGTTGATGATTTGTAGGTATGTAATGATTTCTGCGCCGGTGCGGAGGGACATGGTTTGCAAGAAGCTCTACATGCGATGGTCAGTCGTTATTGTCACGTGATGGGTTATATATCGAGTCAAGGAGTGTCTTGGAGTGGACGTACCCTGGGGCGAGGAATCTCGACAAGTTGTGAAGGCATCATGGTCGTGAATCGGCTCGGGTCGCGGAGGATAGTCCTCTCGCGCCGTATACGTTATTCTGAGGAGTAGCTATGCTATGCTATAGGGGGACTGTGCGTTCTGTGTCTTGTCCCGGTAGTGGTGAGATTGGTGGCGGTGGTGGTGGTGGCCGAGGTGAAGGGAGCGGTGGGCTGGGAGGCGTCTGTGAAAGTCTGTGAAAGTGTTGTATGATGCTGGATGTTGCTGCGGCGCACGACGGAAGCGCCGGGGAGATCTGCTTGCTCATCTCGCAGACATGCACTAAGCCCCTTTCCACGCTGGTGGCACGTGCACAGTACCTTAATTTCAACACCAGTCTGCCTGATCTGCAACACCCCATGGCGTTGATGAGATCTTGCATCGTGATCCTTACCCATGCTTGCGGTACGGCGTGCTGGTATGAAGCTGTGAGGCCTGAAGTGCTGCTCATGAATGACGTAGCGCCATCCTGAGTGGGTTCTTCATGTACTACTCCTGTCACGTGGTCTTGACTGCCTTGAGCCAGAGCATCACACCGTCCAGATGCTCTCTCCAAGCAATTCTTTAGAAAAACCCGTTCTCTCTCTATTCTTCCCGTCCATCAGATGTTTCCTCTAGATACATCCTTATGGTAGACGATGAAACCCCCGAATTGATTACTGTATCAGCAGCAGAATGTTGTTGCCGAATTTGGAGCAGTGGCAGCGATATTAACATCAGCTTATCAAGAATGGCATATATCTATATAGACATGATGGGTCTGTTGAAGTTGTAAGGCGTGATCTTGTCACTGCTCCCTCAGACATATGATAGGGAGCAGACTTATCAATGCACAGGATGTGGAAGATGCACTCCTCTGATTTGCGCTTCGAAAGGCTCGTCTACCTACTTAAAATAGCTGGTGCCAGGACAGATGACATCATTCCAGTTTCTATTCGAGGTATACTAAGGGTGTATCTTTCAATTAGAAATAATCTCTGGAGTGCTGCAAGCATATATGTAGCGGAATGACTGTAGGTCACTTCGCGTTGCCTGCTACCAATAGATCAAACATAGATACATAAGTGAGGAAGATCAATGAACACAGGTTTTAAATACAGACCGTCAGTTCTATGTGCACTGTTCTACTACGAAAAATATACATGTAGAAATCATTCAGCGAAAGTACCAAACTACATCAACCAGTCCAAAGCTCCCTCCACCCGAAAAGTCTTTTACAATCCGTCCAAGCTCACTCCACGGCTCCCAATCCCATCAACCACCATCTATGCAGGCTGAGCAAAAGTCGAGCCAATAGGACCAAACTTGATATTGGAGTAGACAACCGTAGCATCCGGCGAGCTAGCCTCGACATCCTCAGGCTTACCAGACGTCGTAGGGCAAGTACCACGAGCAACACCTGGCTTCTGCGGATCGGCATCAGTAGGGTACGTAGAATCAAGCCAAAGCATGTTAACAGCATGATCATCCCAAAGCGACATGACGAGCACATGGCCCCTCGCCAACGAAGCAGCCATCTCGTTCAAACCACCCAACTTCTTAAACGAGCTGGTATCGCCAAACGCCGTCTTCTGCTGCTCGCAGAACTGATCGGTGATGGAGTTGCCCGTGACACCCTCGATTGCTGAATCCGTGTTCTTGAACACCTTGCCGTCTTGGACGTAGAAGCGCTTGATGTCGGTGAGCGAGCTGCCGGAGCCGATGAATTGCGTGACTACGGTCATTTTCTTGTTTGTGTCGAGCGTCATGCCGGGGCCGTAGAAGTCGCGGACGCCCATGCGGTAGCTGTTGAAGTCGCAGCCGTCCTTGTCGCAGATGCCGCCGTAGCGGTTGTCGCCGTCACCACAGGCGGTGCCCGTGCATTCTTGGAGACCGGTGCCACTGCAGGGGTGCGGGGTGTAGGCTGTGGAAATGGAATTTGCTTCCCAGATGTCCATTTCTGGGCAGCAGGCGCCGATTTTACCTTGGCCGGCGTTGGGATCGTTGGGCGAGGGGTTCCAGCCTTCGACATTGGCTTTACCATTGATGAACTTAATGTCGTGTGGGCATTGGGAGTCACAGTATCTGGGTTTATGTTAGCTGAGAAGAATTTTTGAATCTGTATGAAGCCAACTTACCCAGTTCCATATTTGGCGCCGGCTTTGTTGTTGCCCTTGTTCAAGCCGCCATCAGCGGCCATTTCGACAAAGTAGAGGGCGCCGTTGAGACCACAGGGCAGCTTGGAAACGTCCACGTCAAAGGTGAACTCCTTGCCGATCAGGTTGAACATTTGATATTTGGAGTCGGTCTCCATGAGATAGGTGCGCGAGCCGATGTTGCTAGAGTACTGGCCCTTGGTGACGAATTTGAGGGTCAGGGCATCGCTGCTGGTGGTGATCCCGTAGGTGCCTAGACATTGTAAGTCTGGATTCTAATCATTATGATACTCGTGTCGAGGCTTACCAGAGTAGTCAGCACCATCAATGGCGCAGTTCTTGGTGCAAGTCATGCCATCAGGGCAGGCAGTGGTGTTCCAAGAGTTGCCATCGAAGCAGTTGGTGTATCCGCTGGTAACATGGGACCAACGCCAGTTGGAGTCAAGAACAACAGATCCAGACTTGCTGGTGCAGCTGTTACCACCGGTCCCAGTGCAAGTCTTCCATGTCATCTTGGGATGAGTTTCAGTCTGCGAGGTACCAACCTGCTGGGCGCGGGCGGCCCCGAAGAAGGAGAGAGAAGCGAGGGCGAGTGTCCTGTACATCTTGACTGCTGAGGGAATGTGAGTTGGGGGATATCGAAAAAGCCTTCGACCCTGGGATTGCCATCTTTTATAGAAAACTTGAAGCTGGTTGAGGTACTATCGAAAGTACGTTAAGATTGTGCCCATATGACCATGCGTGATTGCAAGGCGCGCAAGGTCTGTGTCGTTGTTTTCGATGGAGTCCCTGCCGGCCAATGCCATGGACACTACGGGCCCTCGGCATCATGGAATGAAGCTAGAAGTACCACAGTAATGAAAGATAGATGAAAACCCCTGGGTAGTTTTGCCTCCGTGGGGAAAGTCCGGGGTTCTGCGGAGACCGGTACGCCACCACTTCTAGGATCTTTACCTTACGCAGATAGTGAAACTTCTACGAAGGTATAGATGTACACCGTCTGAAATTAGTAGTTAGTTTGGCGTATGCGATTGATTGGTGGTACAGTTCTGGTGTCTCTTCCCATTCGGCGTTGATCATATAGTTGTCTTAGCCAGGAGGCGAATGTGAATTGTCACCCTCGGCTTGAGGCGTAATGTCACGCGTCGAAGAACGATATTCGGAGTCTGATTATCCTCAGAATCCATGGGCACACCTGAAACTCCCCTAACAGGCAGCACTGATGGATCCCTTCGTGTTGTAAGGCTGCGCAATGAAGTTCGCCTGGTATCTGCCATAGTGATTCCATAGTCCAGTTGACTAAGTGTCCAAGAGCCTCATAGCAACTGTTCATATCAGGAAATCTTCTGGAAGAAAATATGGGTCTCAATGTGGGACCTTAATATGCCGTAGAGGTCATGAGGCGGTGTCTGCCGTGCACCACAGGTTCTCGCTAAGACACCAAGAGTTCTTAGGTATCTTGCATTTCTTAGGCATTATAACGGTAGAATTCGAAATCAACATCCAGTGGTGATCCACTGGATCGTTAGTGGCCCCGTCTATCTCTTGCGCAGAAACTCGTACGACTGTGATGAAGGGGCATACAGATGCATGTCCCGTTAAGCGTATGACCCCGAGCGTATCATTTGGCTGTCATAGCGCTAAATGTATCGGAAGAATAGCTTCCAGAGATTTTGGATCTGTGGCGTCGGTACGAAGCCTGAGGAGAGTAGGACGAAGGCGAAACGAAGTGAAGCTTCCGGAATAGTCGGGACGAGGCTCCTCCAAGAGGCCGTGCAATGCTTGAAAATCATTCCCCATGCCTTGGAGTCCTCATGGAGCGGTTCAATCCAGATCCTCGGTTGTGGTTTCGCGCTGGCTATATTACATACCAGGACTGCAGGCCTAGTGTGACCAGCCACCTCGCACGTTGATGGCCTAAGTATCTCTTCCCACACGAATGTAAATGGTCACTGCCGAAGTCAATTCAGAGAGTGGCATGCCTATTGTGATCAGTCTTGCATCTTCAGATTTTAGGCACATTTGCCGCCAATGGACGGAGGTGCGACGCAGTTTCACGTTGGCTTAGATCCAAGTTCAGCCTAATATAAACGCCGACGGTCAATATAACTTCCGGCCACTCAATATACAACCCATACCATTGCGTAGATGATCAGCGTTCTAAACCGATGGTCATCCAGGTTTGCGGCGAATGACACTCAATTCAAGCGAATGATGCGTTCTGTTGTATACAAGACTGGGCTTGGGACGATTGAGCCGCAATCTTGACATGCCCCCCTAAGATTACCGCAGCTGTGGTACCACCATGTATTGAATTTACTCAGATTCGCATGTGTCCTTTGTATTTTTTTTCTAGAGCTGAACCGAAGCTACTTGTGGTCGAAAGCGACATAGCATGACCTCAGCTTTTGAAGTTCAGGTCATGTGCTGAATGTGAGAGAGTATAGAGTGGCGAGCGGGGACTCTGATTGTAAAGGAATTAGTACCTGTCCTCCTCAAAACTGAAACAATTGGGAAGGGTTCTGACAGCGCAGTGTAGACATTTGGAGAAGGGGCATGTATCTTCAATCAAATGAGATGAGGTTGAATGCAGACCAAGTTGTTCGTAGAAGGGACCTCGGGCTCGGGAAATAGCACTCTCGAAGCACTGGGACAGATGAAGCTTAACGTGATCCACCACCGAGCGCCCACCCCCACCGAGCGCCCACCAACACCAAAATCCACCACCCACTAAATAAGGATATTGCGCCACCTATAATAGCTATTATTACAAGATTTCTTAGAGTTATAATTATTAGATCTATTAGAGTAGATTAAATATTTTAGATTATATAAGTAGCTTTTTAGGGGGTCTAATTAGGCGCCTATGCTATAAAGTTGCCTCTACTACTATATCCTCTTCTACTAGCTCCTTATTAACTACCTTAGCTAGTATAATAGTAGGAGGCTTAAGGATTTACCTCTTATCTATTTAGGATATTTTAATATTATTTTAGAGTTACTTTTCTAGTTACTTAGTAGTTTTCTACTTATTATATATAGTAGCTTTTTAAGTAGCTTTCTCCTTCTACTTTTTCTTAGTAATTACTTAATTTAAGTAATACTCCTTTATAAATTAAGCTTTAGTAAGCTTCTATTACTTATAAAGCTTAATTACCTTACTTTTTTAGTATTATAGCTCTTATTCTTTAAGGTTCTTTTACTTCTAAAGCTTAAATACTTACTCTACCTTTAATAGTAAAATAAATTAGGTACTACTACTATAATTATTATTAGGGGGTAATAATAAAGGTTTACTACGCTTCCTACGCTTCTTCTTATTAGCTAGGGTAGCCCTTAGGTATTTATTTTTATAGTTAAGTAGAGTATTTCTTACTAATATAGTATAGATTATCTAGCTAAGCTTCTTTAACTATTTATTATAGATATTAATTATAGTATTATAGAGTAACTACTCTATCTTTCTCTAATTACTTATACTTAATATTAAGGTTATACTATTACTTAAAAAAGGCTAGTTACTATTATTTATAGGTACTTTAAACCTTAAAAGGATAATATTAGGGTTAAGTAGTAAGATACTTATTACTTTAAAAGCTATTTGTTGCAGGAGGGATATCAACTGGATCACGGAGCATCTTGATCCTAATTAATCCCGATCAATCCTGGTTAATACCCCTGTATAACCCACTATCTAATCAACTGCCAGCTTACTGCCAAGTGCCTAATAAAAAGCAGGAGCTCTAGTAAGGAAGGTTTACTAATTATTCACCTTCTAGTAAGGGTAGCTAAAGCTCTATATATATAAGTCTGATCGTAGTAGATATAATCTAATAATCTATCTCCTAAATTATTCCTAACCTTAGTAATCTAAAATTTAATAGTTATAAGCCTAGTTTACGCTTTACCTTATTAAAGATTGTCCTATCTATTTAAGCGTATTATTTAACTTAGACACTAAGCTAGTAAAGCTTTACTCTTTATACTATTTCTTAAGTAAAAGCTTACTTATTACTTTTCTACTATAAGCAACTAAATCCTAAAGGGGGATATCCTACTTACTAGATTAACTAACTAGCCTACCTAGTATATTTAATTTAGATACCATGCCCTAACTAAAGGGATCTAGGTAGAGGTAGACCCTAAGGCTCTAGATACTAAAAACCACTTTAAGAATAAACCTATTAAGCCTAATATGCTAATAGATATTGCGCTATCTAATATAACAAGCAAGTAGTATAAGCTCTAAATAGCTTAGTACTAAGCCTGCTTATTAGATTAGGTATTAAAGTTATTAGTAATCTAGAACCTCTTTATATAGGTTAATAATATAGTAGATTAAGGGATCCTTACCCTAGCCTATATAGAGCTTATTAATTAAGGAAGAGTAACCCTCTAAGCACTTATCTAAGTGCTCTATAATAACCTAGCGCTAACTAACTTAAGCGCTATAACACTAGTAAGATTATAGTATAAAGCTTATCTTGCTAAGGCAAAGATAAGTAGCTAAGACACTAATTACTACTAGAAGGAGTAGACAATCCTATATACGCGAGCTGAAGGTATGACTAACATTCCTAATATTAAAGGATAGCTTATAGTATAGGATTATCTTAAAGCTCTATCTACTAGGATCTTACTAGATTAGGGTTAAACTATGTTTTAAAGGATTATTAAAAAGTTAGTAATAGGAGAGCTAACTTATAACCTCCTATAGGTTACTAAGATCTATTTATTACTTCTTTAAGAGAACAATATAAGATTAAGCTCTAAGGGTCCTAGAGTGTTTGCAATAATAGGAGCTCTACCTTCTAATTAACCTAAGAAGGAGTCTTTATACCTATATAGTAGATCTTACCTATAGAAACCTCCTAAATACAAAAATATTATTAAAGCTTAGACTAATACAGGTAACAAGCTTACTACTACTTAATAATTAGAGATTAAGAAAAAGATTAATAGGAATCTAAAATTTAAAGAGTTAAGAAAAGCTCTAATTAAGTCCTATCCTATTAATTAAGATTATAGTAGTAAGGCAAAAGAAAACGCGATTACCTATCTAGGCAGTATCTAGGCGGCACTAATTAACCCTATATTAATAGTAGAGAAAATAAACAGGATCTATTTAACTATAGACTTTAAAGCTTACGCTCTATTAAAGAGCACTATCTTTAATAATAGGGGTGTAGTGCACCTAGTTAATAATATAAGCTACCTAGAAGAAAGCTTGTTTAGATTAGTTAAATATAAGATAGTTAAAGCAGGAACTTAAGCTTTTCTAATCTTAGGCAGAGGGACTAGAGTAATCCCTAATACTCTTAATAGACTAAGAGGTCTAAAAATAGAAGATTTAGTGCTTACTAATATAGTGTTAGTAGAAGGTTTTTATATAAATATTATATTAGAAGCTTAATTACTTAAAGCAGGAGTTTAGTTCCTTAGGCTAGATGCTACCTTATAGTTTAGATTATTAGAAAAGAGTGTTGTATTAGCTAAGTTACTACGTAAGTTTAACTTAACTTTCCTAGAATACAAGCCCTCTACTCCTTATCTAATAATCTAAAGCATAGTGCCTAAATAACCCTAGCAATCCTAGACAACTTACCTAAGACACAATAGTAAGGAGCTTTAGCACTAATAATTAGGCTATTTAGGACCTAAGGCGCTTAAAGCTCTAGTTAAGTTAGCTATAAACGTTAGGATTAAAGGAACTCCTAGGAGCAAATACGAGCACTACGCTATTACACATGCCTAACAGGTTATATTAAGATAACTAAGGGAAAGATTACTACGTCTATACTACTAGGTATTATAGGATCTATTTAATATACTAATAGGTATAGCTTATAAGTAATAGATCTTAGTATTAAAGTGTAACTACTTAGGAAAGCTTTATACCTATCTACTATAAGCTAAAAACCTTAATAAGATTATACAGGTGTTTAAAAATTTTAAGAGCTTAATACTTAACTAATATAAGCTTAGCATAGTTAAGATTATACAAGACAACAATGTTATAACGCTCCCTTAGCGTGGCAAATCTTGCTTTTAGATCTAGGTAGCTAATAATAGTATTAAAATTAAGAGCTTACCTATATATACCTATAAACCTAATAGAGGAGTAGAAAGAGTAGGGTAGGAGATTATAACAAAATTAATTAAAATAAGGATTAGTGCTAACCTACTAATAAAGCTCTAGCCTAAAATTATTAAAGTAGCAACTTAGCTCTATAATATAAGCCTATCCTATACTTATAATATAATATCACCTAATAAAGTGCTAGATTATTAGTTTACTAGATACTTTAGGTAGTGGCAACTAGAGTAGATAAGGGAGGTAACTACTAATCTCTGCCCTAATTAGAGTGGAATATACGCCTATAGCTATTAAGCTTACCCCCTTAACAGAGATTAAGTAGCTAGGCGTTACAAGAGGGTTTTTAAGGTGAACCCTTAGGGTTATATTAGATATCTAGTAGGATATAGAGTATCTAATATATACAGGATATAAATCCCCTTGCTTAATTAGATTATTATAACGCAGAACATTACCTTTAATAAGGATCTTTTCTATAAAGAGAAAGATCTAGAGTAGCTTTAATAGTTAGAGGCTTAAAAGATAGTTAACGTTATTAGTAAAGATAAGATCTATAATATAGGAGAAGTATATAAAGAGCTTAATATCTTTAATTAGCTTTATATTATAGTAGAGTAATATAAGGAGTCTAGTAAGTAAGGAGGACTAAACCTAGTGTAGGAGCTAGGGGGTAGGGTAGAGCTAGAGGAGGTAGATAATTAAGCTAGCTAGCCTAGTAATTTATAACCCCCTAAGCAGACACCTCTAGCATAGGTACTAAGCATAGCTAGCTTAGCACAAAGGATCTATATAAAGT